CTTAAAAGTTCGCGTCATGGAAAATGAGGCATATGTTAGAAAAAAGGAAACACAGAAGTCTTCTGTTGCCCAACATTGTTGGTCCGAAAATCACACTTTCAATTTTTCTGCTGTCAAAATTATTCAAAAAGCATCTTTCATTGGAGAACTGGATTTTCCAGAGGCATTTCATATTCAAAAAAATATTTCTGTTCTAGTTAATGATCCTAATTCCAATCCATCTTTGCCTTCTGGCTTTAAAGAAATTATGTTTTAGTTCTGGTTTCATCAACAGATGGCGCCACTAGCTTATTTTCTGATCAGGCTTTCTTATCTAATCATTATTTCCTATCTTGTTCATTTGCGGTTTTGCAACTGAGGATGGTGGTTCGGTAAAACCATCGAAACTAGTCCTGTGAAAATTTTAAAAATATAACTCTGATTTTTATTGTTTGACTTCTGAATTAGTATTTGTTCGGCGTGTTATAGTGTCTTAATACATAATTGACTTTATTCAATTGCACTAATATAAGATAATTAATAAAGATTTAAGAATTTTCAATAGAGCTAAAAGCAAGTATTTAATTATGTGGACTTCTCTCACCAAAAGCCAGTCGGATGACTAAAAATGTGCAAACAAACAAATAAAAACGCAATAAGATGGAATATGTGACATATTAGAAAGAAGTTTCAAGAGGGTGAATGTTGTGTTAAAGTAGCGATACTAAACATCAATAAATTTAAAAAATCACGTTTGTCTTTCATTTTAAATATAAAGAGTAGAAGCAATGTGGAAATGAAATTTTTGCTAAGATTGTGCGATTGATTGCAAAATTCTTCATCTATCCTACTTTTACATGTAGTTAATAAGTCTCATCTCGCAACTAACTAGACAATATTTAATTACGTTTTATTTTCATTTAATAATGCATTTATTTTTTATAGTTTTTATGTCTGTTTTTTAATCATTCATTTTTTCATAGTATAAACCTCCATGCATAACAACTTTAAATACTCGTATAAGTCTAAAATGGACAGGGTTTATTAATGAGTATAATTTAAAACGTATTTTGAATGTAGCGATGTTATATTTGGCACATATATTATTTACATTCTACTCATAATTGGCAAAATTATTAATTATTTTCTTTTTATTTTTCCTTTTTTATTTTTATCATACAAATTTTGGTACTTTCTCGGAATTACGTTGTTAGTTTGTGTATATACAAAGAGTCTTAACACATTTAGAACGATTTTACGCGTCGCCGTCGTTTAGATAACGCTTATACACCTTAAAATCCATAAGATGTTCGAACAGGTGACTGTTGCAAGAATTGGGATAACTTATTTATTTTAAAAGCAATTACTACCAACGTTTTGCAGCTGACAACATAATATAGCTAATTTCTGAAATAGTAATCAGAAAATTTGTGTTGCCACAAATGTGTCCATTAATTCAATCCGCTTTGTGAACAAAATGTTTCGTCATGTTCCACCTTGCGCGCAGTTTTGAACATTCTGCTTGCATAATTTAATTCCATATTTAATGTATAGCTTTTATAGCATTTAGAAACTACTGTGAACCAAAAACTTCTAAAAATTTTCATGTTAAAAATTTATTTTATTTGGAGTTGAGTTTAAAAAATGTATTTTATTAAAAAAATATGTAATGTTTTCGTGCATAAAAATTTTTAATATTAAAATATTCATCAGATTGTTGGTTCAGTTAGAAAATAGTGCCCGTATAAAGAATTCCAGCAAATTTCAAGTATGTACCATTAGCCATTTTTAAAATATCATGCGCGCAAGGTGGAAACATGGCAAAAAATTTTGTCACAAACAGGGTTAAATTACAAAAATATTTGTGGCAACACAAACTTTCTGGTTACTAGTTTCCAAAGCAGCTATATCATGTAGTCAGCTGTAAAAAGTTGAAAGTAATTGCTTTTAAAATAAATCAAATATCCCAATCCTTGCAATAGTCACATATTCGAAAATCATGAGGGGTTTAAGGTGTATGAGTCCCCTTAAAATGTATATATTTATAATTTAAATCTTCTATTGGATGCCTGTTATTTTGGACCAAGTTTTGCATGGAGGCTCATGAACATAGCATAAATGCGTCAGAAAATTATAAATTCATATCATTACTAGGGTTTATAAAATAAATCCAAAGTGAAAAATATTGTTTGCTAAAGTGTGCAATGAAGTAAGAATATTCATCAGGTCGAAATGTGTGTTTTAATCATAAACCTTATTCATAAGTTTCTAAGGTGTTATCATCCTAAAGTGAGGCCTGTTTCTAGCACCATTTATTCGGTGAAACTATGAGCCTTTAAAACAAGTAGAATACATAAATTATCTTTTGCAACCTGGAAGATTATATAAGGATTAACGGGAAAAGATTCCTTCTTTAAAGCTATAGCAACAGACAATTAAGAAATATGAAAAACTAATTTTATTCAGTCCTTTCTGCCATTTTGAGCTGATGCAAAATAATAACCTTTAAATGTACCAGTTAAAGGACTACCATAAATAAATTTCATTTTATGAAAGGATATGCAAAATGTTTACAACCAAGCTCTGATTGATGCAGCATTGGTCTAAAAGTAACAATATTTGAAATTTTTGAGTTATAACTATGAACACTAAACCAGATGAATACTGAAGGAGGAGCGATATTTGAGATACGTTGCAAATGCCATATTCTAAAGACAAATTAAAGTTTATTTTCACTGTATGTTTAACTTATGCAGTTTATTTATACATATTACATAATTATAAATATTTTTAACAAAGGGGCCCACCAGCGGCCGAGCGGTAAAGTCGCTGAACACTGGTAGTTCGGTCCGAGGTTCGAATCCCGCGAACGGGCTGGCTGCATGGGCGTTTTCGTGGTTTTCCTCATATGCAACGTGTATACGAGCCAGTTTCCCTTAGAAAGTCCTCCACGAAGGCATCCCTACACTTAGGCAGATAGCCCTCGAGGCTTTGTCGTAATCACACACACACTTTTAATAAAGTTTTTAGCCCAAATGGGGTTATCTTAGAAGGGATATTAGTCTCGAAACGGCATTTTGCGACGAATCACTTTTCAAATTGTTGCCACAAATATTATCTCCCCGTATTATATTTAAAGGAACTAAATAACGAAGAATCTACATGCATGCATGTATGTTTCTCGCATTGTGAAATAAAACGTCACGTAGAGTCATCAAAATTTGAAAATTTGAGCCTCGAATTTAAAAGCGAGTCATCAAAATTTGAATAATATAGTCCTCCACCCGAATATGGGCACCTAGAAGTCCCAATTTGAAATTTGTTTTATTGTCTATTTCATATTTTGTAAAACTTTAACAAATTTTTGATTAACAAACTCAAAATTTTAAAGCGAGTAATGGCAACACTGTAAGGAATAAACCGCTTTTCATCTCCAGTGCGCGAGGCTGTCTATCGGAAATTCTAAAGATATGCTGTTATTAAATATTTTAGCTCGATGTGGCGTAAGCCGAAATGCTCTCAAAACACATATGTGTCTGTAAATGAAAGAAACGGCCCAAAATCTTAAAACTTTCAGATTTTTTTAATGTAATAAAGCAAATGTATTTAGGAAAGACTGACAAGAGCTTATGGTGAATAATAATCGCTTAATAACTAATAATCGTTTTTTGTGTTCAGAAATGCATTCCAGAGTATTTGGGTAATAGTAAATAACTAGAGATAAAGTAGAAGTGCATTTGGCTGCCTAGTCCTATAAAATGGACCATAATTTAAATAAAATTTTTAAAAGTTTTGAATTTGGCAAAGTTGGTCCAATTTAATTTGCTCAAGTAACACTATTTCGTAAACAGTGATTTGTACGTAATAACATATTTCATGAATTTTTTTTCAAGCAGCCCATATCTGTAATAGCGGAATTTAAAGCTTGTTTTCTTAATCTTTAACATTAAATTTTCTCTAAACACAAAAAAAAAAAAAAAAAAAAAAAAAAAAAAAAATTAAGAAAATTTTTGACTCTGTTTGCAAATTTAAACATAAAAAATGTAGTATTTTACGTATTTTTCATAATAAAAGCGTATTTTTACTAAACACGGTATAAATGTAAATGCGAAATGCCTTAGGTCATGGCGACCTGAAAAAAAGAACGAAAAACAAAAGCAGTTTACTTGTTGAAATAAAATAATCAAAAACAGACGGCATCTTGTTCTTAATAAGGAAAAACTTAACGTAATTTCGAAAAGAAAGAAAAGCGTATTTTTACTAAACACGGTATAAATGTAAATGCGAAATGCCTTAGGTCATGGCGACCTGAAAAAAAGAACGAAAAACAAAAGCAGTTTACTTGTTGAAATAAAATAATCAAAAACAGACGGCATCTTGTTCTTAATAAGGAAAAACTTAACGTAATTTCGAAAAGAAAGAAGAGGAAAACATTTCTAACAACGTAAAACATTAAATATTAAACAGGATTAGATTGTCTTGTTTGATTACGTCAAATCATTTTAGGGCTATCTGGCTAGGAAGTAGGGATGCCTTCTTGGAAAACATTCTGATCAAACCTAGCTCATATTCACATGTTGCACGATAAAAACCATAAAAATGGCCATGAAATCAGCCCCTTCGTCAATAAAAAAAAACATTCTTAAATATTTACATGTTAGGAATTTTACAAATAATTCTTAAGAATATTATTCTCGCTTTAAGTGACATAATTAAAATTATGACTCTTATTCAATAAACATTCCATTCTAGAACAACAGTCAATAAGTAAAGTTGTAATATGTAAAACATAGTAATATAATTAATCTATCTAAAAAATTTAAAAAATACACTAATATCAAAAAGTATTATCGCTGATAGCGAGTATGTTAAACTGCAAAATTTTCAAACGTTACAAAAATATAAATTTTGTGTAGTATAATATGTGTCACAATAACATATGTGTGTCAAGTAATTTTATATAAAAGATCCACCAAATGTTTTTTAGTGTTCAAAATATTTTTTTCGAGTTTGAATATTACCTTCGTTTCCGGCCATGTTGTCCGTTCGGCCATCTTGTCCATCCACAGACAGTGTATGCTGGTGAACAATTTCCGGCTCTTCTTTCGGTTCATCATTACGAAGAGTGACCGGATTTTCTTTGGATATCTCGTTACCTTGCTCGTCGAGGAGCTTGACCGCCGTCGTTTCGACCTCAACGATGCCCTCCGCTCGTTCTTCATTCTCGCTACCGCCCCTACGGTTCTTCCTCGCGTGCATGGTGTACACGCCGTTGTGTCCTGTTGGCAAGGAAAAGGATTATTATCTGTCCAATTGGGAATGGGTGAACCGCCAAAATCAAATTCTTAATAGGTAAAAGAACTCTCTTTGCAGTTCTTAGAAATGTAACGTCTTGCCTCGCGACCTCTGCCGAATTTTTTTTTTTTTTTTTTTTTTTTAGTCCAAAGGGATTTGAATCCCGAAGGACACTATTAGTTTCGTTTTGGCATTTTGCGTCGGACTCATAAATGTCGGTTCACTTTTCAAACTGTTGCCACAAAATGTTAGAGTCCTGCATTATATTTGAAGAAATTAAATAATGAAAATCTGCGTAAATGTATGTATATTTCTCACATTGTCATAAAATAACGGTACATAGAGTCATCGAATTTTGAATAACGTAATCCTCGAACGAATATGAGCATGTGGAAGACCAAATTTGAAATTTGAAATTTGTTTTATGATCGATTTCCTTTTTTAAAAACTTTGACGAATTTTTGATTAACAAACTCAAGGATTTCAAAGCGAGCAATGGCAACGTTGTGCAGAAAAAACATTTTTATCTCCAGCGCGTGAGTCTCTGTATCGGAAATTCTAAAGATATGCTCGTTTTAAAACTATTTTGCGATATTGCTGTTGTACCTGATCTTATGGTTTAACTGCGAGGAACATGATATTTAATAAAGAAAGGTAACACACAAAATGTTAAAAAAACGCCCCTTTGGACGTAATTTAAAATCTGAAACATTTCAGATTTTTTTTTTTTTTTTTTTTTGTCATGGATTACGTCTGAGTAACTATCAGTTACAAAACATCAAATGCATTTCATGAATAATAATTAATTTAATCAAAATACATAAATGTGAGGTACTTAAGAACTTATATTGTTTTTAATAAAGATAATTAACAAAATTGATGGAAATGCCTGTCGGAAATAAAACAAGAATAACAAAGGACAAATTTCAAGTTCGTTTTGCTTAATTTGAAATTAAATTATAAATTTTAATTAAGAATTTAAAATGTCACACATTAATTAAAGTAGCATTAAATTAAAAATAGAAACGTTGCTAATTTAAGACTTAATTTGAAAACTACTACTGATTTTTCACAGCTAAATTTTATGCTATGAATTTATTTATTTCATATTATCTAAGATTTTCAAAAAGCAAAGGAATAAAATATTAAAACTAATTTAGAATATGTTTAAGGTAACTTTTAGCCAAAAAGAGCAATTTGTCTAGGAGAGTTATTAATTTCGTTTCGGCATTTAGCGTTGGTTCACTATGAACGGCGTTTCACTTTTCAAATTGTTACCACCAAATATTATCTCCTTGCATTATATTTAAAGAAGTTAAACAATGAATAATCTGCATGAATGTATGTATCTCTCTCGCACTGTGAAAAAACAACGGTACATAGAGACATCAAATTTTGAAGAACGTAGTCCTCCATTCGAATAGAGGCATTTAGAAGCCCAAATTTGGAATTTGGAATTTGTTTTATTACCTATTTCATATTTTATAAAATTTTAACCTATCTTTGATTAAAGAAACTCAACGATTTATAAACTAGCAATGGTAACACTGTACGTTGAAAAAAAAGCACTTTACCTCCAGCGCACGAGACTGTGTCTCAGAAATTTTAAAGATATACTGCTTTGCTGTCTTTAAATAATTTGTGGTATTGCTGTTGAATTGAATTTTATATAGTTTTAAGGGGACTCATACACCTTAAACCCCTCATGATCTTCGAATATGTGACTGTTGCAAGAATTGGGATATTTTATTTATTTTGTAAGCAATTACTTCCAACTTTTTACAGCTGACTACATAATATAGCTGCTTTGGAAATTGATAACCAGAAATTTTGTGTTGCCACAAATACTTTTGTAATTTAATCCTCTTTGTGACAAAATATTTCGCCATGTTTCCACCTTGCGCGCATGATATTTTAAAAATGGCTAATGGTACATACTTGAAATTGGATGGAATTCTTTATATGGTCACTATTTTCTAACTGAAACAGCAATCTGATGAATATTTTAATATCGAAAAATTTTATGGACGAAAACATTACAAATTTTTTTAATAAATTACATTTTATAAACTCAACTCCAAATAAAATAAAAATTTAACATGAAATTTTTAGAATTTTAGGTTCACAGTAGTTTCTAAATGTTATAAAAGCTATATATTAAATATGAAATTAAATTATGAAACAGAATGTTTTAAACTGTGCGCGCAAGTTGGAAACATGACGAAAAATGTTGTCACGAAGCGGATTAAATTATAAAAATATTTGTGGCAACACAAACTTTCTGATTACTATTTCAGAAAGCAGCTATGTTATGTAGCCAGCTATAAAATGTTTTTAGTAATTGCTTTTAAAATAAATAAGTTATCCCAATTCTTGCAACAGTCACCTATTCCAACATCTTATGGGTTTTAAGGTGTATGAGTCCCCTTAAGAAGATAATATTTAATAAATAAAGGTAACACACAAACGTTAAAAAAGCGCCCCTTTGGGCGTAATATAAAATCTGAAAGCTTTCCTATTTTTAGTTGTTTAGTTTTTGGTTTGTGTAATTATTTTAACTTCCGGTTATCGATTTAGAAATATTATCCGAATCTGAAAATATAATTTTTCCCCAAACTTTCTCATACATGTTCACGATCGCTTTACGTTTAGATCACTTAGTCGATATTTTATACATTCCATTTATCTTTATTGCTTTTTGCCAATATAATTTACCGACTTATTCATAAAACATGTTCTAAAATTCAAAGGTACAAAATGCTTCCTTTACATTATGCATACTGTTACCTCATCTTTCAGTTATTAATTTATTCACTTGGAGTACAAACTACTTTGAGCATAAGAGTACATTAATCATTTTCGATACCTTTATAACCCATATTAACCTGACCCGCTTTTTATGTTGTAACGTAGCGCTTTTTATGTTGTAACGTAGCGCTTTTTATGTTGTAACGTTTCATTACGGATCGAAATAGCTGATGCATTTGAATTGTAGTATTATAACCCGTGATCTTCTATTTTACAAAATGCACGCAGGAGAATAATCGGGAAGCAAGCTAGCCGAAGTAGAAAGGCTGTTCTGTTTCGTTTCACGCAGATTGCTAACTAGACGTTACGCATGAACAGTTATGATAGTTATTATTTATTACCTTTCCCGTTTTTGTGATTTTCAGCCTTCCTCTCCCTGGAGGGGCGTTCGGCGCTTGCAGATCCTGTGTCCGTCACTGTCCTGCGAGATGCGAGTTGGGCTTTGAGACACCTGGAATTGGCCCTAATTCGGTCCATCAGAATTTTGCCAGGCTCCTCCTCTTCTGCTTCATCTTCCGCATCGAACGGATGACGGGGAGGGGGAGGCTCTCTTGTTTTCGATCTGCTTACCTCGCGCTTTTTCTACAAGATGGGGAAAAAATCCTTTCATACATTTTTAGATATATATATGCGTACATACCAATAAAATAAATAAAATTCTAGCCATAATTTGCAATAGTCTTTTAACTCTATATTTTAGTTTGGTTATCCCCCTTCTTATCCTAAATACTATAATAACTGCTTATAATAAATCTCCCTAAACTGCGTCATTTCAAGATTATCTTTCTTATATGATACTTAGCTAACATTAATGACGCAGATACTTACGAAACGCTTCAGCCAATGATAACTTCAAATTTGGGTACCAAAATTTAAAATAAACGAATAGGGATAAAGCTAATCTAAAATTAAGTCTTATGGAACAGAGTTTTCATCTTGGACACACCGCATTCTCTTTCTCCGTATTCCTCTACGAAGATGCTGCTGCTTATTTCTCTATCTAAGTTAAATGTTGTATAGATGTAGAAAAGGCATAAATGCGAATCAAACATGGGAACGCAGATTGTGCGGCATGATTTACGCTGAGAATGTGCTTCGTTAGAATAAAAAAGGGATCAAATAAGCACGACTGCATGTATGCACCAAGTTTCATCATACCGTAAATCATGTTCTCTGCAATGTCAGTAAAGTAATAAGTTATTACATATATATGCAATTTACTACCCTTATATTTCCTTAATTATTTATTAATTTACTACCCTTATGCATACCCTTGTAGAGTTCTATTCTTATATTTCATACCTCTATACCTAGTGACTAGATTTACAGCAAGAAAGAACAGAAATGTCTTAAGGGGGCTCATACACCTTAAACCCCTTATGATTTTTGAATATGTGACTGTTGCAAGAATTGGGATATTTTATTTATTTTAAAAGCAATTACTTCCAACATTTTACAGCTCACTACATAATACAGCTGCTTTGGGAACGAGTAACCCAAAAGTTTATGTTGCCACAAATATTTTTATAATTTAATCCTCTGACAAAATTTTTTTGTCATGTTTCCACCTTGCGCGCATGATATTTTAAAAGTGGCTAATGGTAAATACTTGAAGTTGGATGGAATTCTTTACATGGGCCCTATTTTCTAACTGAACCAAAAATCTGATGAATATTTTAATAGTAAACAACTTTATGCACGAAAACATTACAGACTTTTTAATAAAATTCATTTTATAAACTCAACTCCAAATAAAATAAAAATTTAACATGAAATTCTTAGAATGTTTGGTTCACAGTAGTTTCCAAATATTATAAAAGTGATATATTTAATATGGAATTAAATTATGCAATAGAATGTTTTAAACTGTGCGCGCAAGCTGGAAACATGACGAAAAATTTTGTCACAAAGCGGATTAAATTATAAAAATATTTGTGGCCAACACACTTTCTGATTACTATTTCAGAAAGCAGCTATATTATGTAGTCAGCTGTAAAAAGTTGAAAGTAATTGCTTTTAAAATAAATAAGTTATCCCAATTTTTGCAACAGTCACAAAGTTCTTATGGGTATTAAGGTGTATGAGTCCCTTTAAAACTTCAAAATGCACATCAGAAGTGAGAACGATAGTGTAATGAAACGCAGCTACTTAACTTTTAGAAAACCGAAGTCTTCGTTAACCTATATGCTTAAAATACCGAAACTCCTGTCCTCGTCCATTTCCCGTCCCGCCCGTTTCCTCCCCATCCCGTCTTAACGCATACAGAGGTGTGAAGATTTCTACTTCCTAGCAAAGAAGCTTCCATTAGCCTCTTAGGACAAGCTGTCTGCAATTAACTGATACAATGCATCTGGGGCACCTGCTACGTTAAGGAGAAGGAAGAAAACAACATCGCAATCTCGGCCGTTTCGGGCGGTTGTGGTCGTTTGAATGAAAGGTCATCTCGGGCGTTTTGGCCTCCAAAACGTTAACCCTGGGCTGTAGCTGATGTACGAAGACATAAGATGCGTGTTGCATACATAAGTAATCAAATAAGGGTTATTGCAGAACTTTCAATGAGCTTTCTTTCTTTATGTAATAAACAAAATTTTCCTCATGCTCATTCAAAAGTTTCTTTGAAAAAATACGCTTTTAAACTAAATTAATAAAGAATTCAGATTATCTTTGCATGAAAAAAGATACTATTATTATATGTTCCATAAGACTATGATTGCTTCAGTTAGAAACTAGAGGATAAAAATTGAAAAACTGTTTATAGTAGCCAAGGTGTCATGTATCAACCCTACATTCTAGCAAATGATATAATACTAATTGAAGGTAATAACTGATTTGAATTAAAAATGGAAAATAAATATGCATGGTATCAATAGAACAATAAAATTCAGTCCTAGTAGAAATGAATGCAGTTGTTAATGGCCCGTGGAAAATTTGAAAAGCGCAAAATATTTAATGCATGCGAAATTATAAAAACAAATATTAAAATTCTTAACTCTACCGGACACGTGCTGCTTTCTTGCGTTAAGATTTTACCGCATGCGAAAAAAAATCTGATGTGTACAACCACATGACTTCCTTGTACGGAATATTAAATTATACGCATTTTTTTCTTGAATTTCATTTAAATTGATTGGATTGAATTAAATCTACTTCGTCGACAGCGAGTAAACCACAATAGAATAAACGCACTCTTTAAAATTCACTATATTTGTTTACTATAACGACACTCTGAATGCACAAAATTTATATCATTTGAAGAATTATCGTTGCCACATGTTCTATTCAAGTACTATAATAAAGCTAAAACGATGTATGAAAGAAATTAAGCAAACAGAACAGAAAGAAACAGTTTTTCACAGACGATTGAGTATTTCTCATTCAATTAATTCAGTTCTCCCTTCGCGACAAAGCAAAAAAAAATACGTAAAAACTCAAAATATCCGCATTAAAAATTACGAAGTAAATCTTAAACATTTATTTCCTCGAAAAAATTCCAGAAAGGATTAAGCATGATTTAATTCGCAATAATAAATGAAGGCGTTATTTTTGTGTTGTGAAGCTTAGTCTCTGTAGATTGGCAACAAATCTACAATTCTGCTGTTTCAAACGTAAACAAATATGTCCGCCATGTTATTTAAAACTTAACCGCACTTGAACAGCTTTTAAATTGTTGATAATTGTACAAATATTGCTTCAGAATTACGAAAGGCATAAAAACCTTAACCGGAAGATAAGAACAACATAATTCAATCATTTTTAAAGCAAAAAATGTACAATTTACAAACATATAAGAGTAAAGAAACTGAGATCACTGAGCCGGGTAGCAGAGTGGATATATATATAAATATATTTATAAACGTTTGGTGCGGCAGATTGCAACCAAAATACGAAGTGCACATCTACATGTTATAGCAGTCCTATATACAAAATTTCAACGTTCTGAGGCTACTCGTTTTTGAGTTATGCGAGATACATACGTACGTACGTACGTACATACGTTCGTACAGACGCCACGAAAAATTCTCTTCAGTATTGATTTTAAAGCAGTTTTATATTTTTGGGGGGGAGAAAAAGTCTTTTATTCTGTCCTTACGTACAGATATCACGCAAAAACATCGTTAAATTTCATTCGATAGCGGTCAAAATGGATATTTTCGTTGAAATATGCTGCCTGAAACTTTTCGCGATTACAATACTTCCTTTTTACTTCGTACAAGGAAGTAAAAAAAAAAATTATAAGTAGCACATACTTATGTACTCAATATGTGATAAAATTTAAGATTCATTCAAACAAAACGATAGCCTGAAACTTCGAAATATATTACTTTTATTTTCTGGAAATCATCATTAGATGCTTAATTTTTAAATAGTATTTTTTGTATCTGTGGTCTAAATCTTACTTTTTGTTGAGAGGTGGCATTGCTGTTACTTTCTCCGAGAGCACGGCTTCTTCGCAGACGAGTAGTCCTTGTTTCAGCCCAGGTAGGTAGCTGTGTGCCACCACGCTCCTTCGATGTGCCTCGTTTTTGTCGCCTACATTAAACAAAAATGCAAGAATAACTACCCTCGTCGCTAACAGGATATTCGACGAAGATTACAAAAGCTTACATCTATGTTTTACGAATGTGAGATCTTTAATATCCTATAAAACGTATTATTAAATCATAAAATTACTAATTTTGAAACTTTTAAATGCAAGGAAATCATTCATTGATTTTGAGATGGGCAAAGAACATCTGATAATATTTTTATGACAAATATGAAACTAAAATCCTTTAAAACCATTTCAAATAATTGCTGTTATTCATACGTTAGTAACATTACATGGATGATTATAACTTTATAATGCTATAAACTTCACTAAATGGTATGATGTATGAACTACACAGAATCTCCTTTGTGTTAATTCAAAGAAGACTACTGTGTAACACACATCTTTATTTTCCACTTCCCGAAATTATGAGAGCCGGATACGGTTACAGTTATATCTAAGATCAATTACTGTTATTGAATTACAACACCTTTTAAAGTTAACAGACTCTGGACCAAAATGTCGACAAATGGTAACGATTCTGGCGACGCTTAGATTTGGCGAGAAATCTTAGTTGCCAAAATCATTGCCAACTTGGCGATATTTCGCCATTTTAGAGAGACGGCCATTTACTCAATGTTAAATAAACTTGCCCCTGTATTTTTGTTTTTTAGGCAGAGCATCTTCTCTTTCAAGCATTTCGTGTTACATTATACGAAAAATATTATATTTTTACGTATGATTTCGCTAAAATTATTTACATATATGCAAAATTCGTAATACGTCTGTATGTGTTTTAATATACAGTGCGTAAAATTAAAATTTTCCTTAAATGTTTTTGGAAAGAAAATCTAGTTCCTTAGATAGAATTTTTACCGATTCTTCTAATTAAAATGTGTACTCCTTTACAATTATGTGTAAAGAAGAGGCTCACGATCATTTCTTCCTGACTGATAAAATTATTCTACAAATTTCTTTGAATACTTTGAGGTTACAGTCAAGGAAAATATTTGTTCCTGTTCGGTGGATAAGAAATCATTATTGTTTGTCACTTTTTCGCTTTGTTTTGAAGATTGTCTGACCTTGATTGGTAAAGGGAAGGAGATGACGTACACTGGGAACAAAGACGTCAATCTGTGTTATAGGTTTCTATGGTAACAAAGCAAAAACATGTCTTGACCATTTTCGAAACAACAAAGTCTACGTTCAAAGTCCAATTTTTTTTCATTGCAGGAGTTTCATTTCAGATCAAGTTAAAAAGTGATCCATATAGTACATATTACTTCCATACAGAATCAATTTGTAGGAGGTCAAAAAGCTTTCATTTTTTTATTTCATTTTTTTCCTCCTCCTCTCTCCTTCCCCTTTTAGACATAAATATACTAAAAACTTTCTCAGTGCTTAAACTGCTTAAACTGTGCTTTTACATTTAGAATAGGCCCTATCAGAGTTGTATGTTCAGGCATCACATCGATGTTGCGAATGTGTTTGACTTATTATAAACAGCAATTGAACTATAAAGTATCCGTCTATAAAGTATTGGTCGCTATAAAGTATCCGTTTAAAATAAATTTTGTGTATATTTCTATGTCGTTCATTTAAATAAACTGCTCACAGAATTGTATCGAATAAATAATAAATGAAAAAAAAAATCTGAAAGCTTTCATATTTTTATAATACATCCAAAGGGGCGTTTTTTCAACGTTTTGCGTGTTACCTTTATTTATTAAATATCACCTTTTTCACACTACATAAAATTCAATTCAACACCAATACCACAAAATATTTAAAATCAGCAAAACAGTATGTCTTTATAATTTCCGATATACAGTCTCGCGCGCTGGAGATCATTTTTTCCCCCGTACAGTGTTGCCATCGCTTTGAAATCGTTGAGTTTGTTAATCAAAAATTCGTTAAAATTTTACAAACTATGAAATAGATAATAAAACAAATTCCAAAATCCAAATTTGCGCTTCATGTTCAGATGGAGAACTACCTTATTCAAACATTGATGTCGTTGTTTTTTTTGCAATGCGAGATACATACATACATTCATGCAGATTCTTCATTATTTATTTTTTAAATATAATGCAGGATCTAATATTTGGTGGCAACAATTTGAAACGTGAAACGCCACAAAATGCCAAAATGAAATTAATAGCTGTTCTGAACTAACTCCCTTTGGGCTAACAAGTTTATATTAAATTTTTCCTGAACGTGTAGATCAAATAAACCATGCATTTCAGACATTGAAGAATGCTTTGCGAGTAATAGATAACCGCCAAGGCTTAACGGGACAATACTCATTTCTCCCCAAGGCATATAATAATTATTATAATAATTTTGATGTATGTTTTAACACCAAAATTATTTATAAAAGCGTCCTGTTATTAGCATTTATATACAGATACATAAAAAGGGGCCTAATGCATAATCATTACATATATATATATATATATATATTAATTTAACAAACATTCTCTATTCGTAAAAAAAAAATTAAATTTTAAATGCAATTGAATTACAAATAATGATTAATTATGCCTGCGAACTAATCTACAATGTCATTTAAATTCTGAGAGCATATGTAAATCAAGTGCAAGTATCAAAATTTATGAATATATAATAAATGTGTAATATATAATTCCAATAATTTTTTTAATCCTAAACATTTATAAAAATGCATAAGTGAATAATTGTTGAATAGGCAGGAGATATATATAATTACAAACTAATATTATATATATATATATATATATATATATATATATAATAAACGTATAGACAAAGCCAGATAATATATAAATATTAGTGAGACTGATTCTTAAGATAAATTTAAAATATAAACTTTAAAAAGATTTAAAAAAAGATTTTAGAGATAAATTTTATGCACATTTTCGAAAGCTGCTCCGAAAAAAATTTAATACGATTTCCTATATATCTTTCAATATTATTAGCAAAATAAACTCAAAGCACAGATTTAAGAGAAATGTTAAAAGTACATTTATTTAAAAAAATTATTTTTTAAAACCTATTAAAAATTAATGTTATGAATTCGACTGTAGTTTCATTCGATCCTTGCTACAAATTTCGTCTCAGAACATCGATGCATTTTGATGATTGAAAATGGTGGCATATCTTAGCCCAGTAAAAGGAAAAAAGCACTTTATCTTAAGCACTTGTGATTAGCATTCTAAAAAAAAAAAAAAAAAAAAAAAATTATTCGCGATTGCAATACTTAATTTATTTCCTGTAAATCATTCCATTTATGGATATGTGCCACGCGGGAAAATTTGCATTGATACGTACAAGATTCATGCAAGAAATATATACATTGAAGCCTGCAAGATCCATGCAAGTAAGTTTTCTATCTATAAAAATGCAATGTATTGTACACTACTTCATTTTGGTAATTAAAAAAAACAGCAATGTAATATGAAGCAGAATCGTTTTGACTTCGAAATAAAATTTAGACTTATTATTCCCTTTAAGGCTACATCATTTTTTTAAGTTTTAATTATACATTTACTCACATATTTCTTCCCCGCGCGTTTCCCTACCGCCATCTCCCCAGTTCTTTTTAGCTTATAATTTAGAAACTTCTGATTTGTCACAGCATCGTCCAAAGTATGAATAAACAGCAAATTAATTTGTGTAAGTAAAAATAACAGTACTAAAAGTGACAATTAAAACTGATTACTTTGAAAAATGGATGCGATAATATTAGTAAACCTATTTATATGTGCTTTCTAATGCACTAAATTTTTTCTTTAGCTCAAAGTTTAGTATCTAAAATATACCAACAAGTGTCGCCATCTAGTGGCCTTAAATGTAAATTTATTAAAATGTTTCCTTTCTAAGTGTATTTTAAAGAATATTTATAAGTGCATTCCGAAATTTTTGAATCTATGCATTTATCGCCACTATAATTAAGAGATATACGTTCCTATTCCCCCTTCTGAAGAATTAAAAGAGTAAGTTTAAAATAAAAAACGGAATGAAAGTCAGCCATCAGTAGCCGTAACAGTCAGGAAATAAATAAGCATTTTCCTAGTAAATTTATTCGAAAACAATTTGATCACATATCTTTCTGATTAGAAATCCTAGAATTATTATATTTATAACGTTTATTCATTTTATTAGAAAATTATTTATCTCATAGTGTCGCCATCTAGGGTTCTGCGATGGAACTAAAATATTAGAAAATGTTACCATTAGATTAATACATTTCTAACACTTAAAATTTTTATTTCTTTTTAACTTTTTAATACGCTAATTCTTTGTTGAAATATGTGTGTATTTGTGTACTTTTTTATCCCTGTTATTAATAAAAGAAAGATAAATTCTACACCAACTGGAAATTTTCATCATTCACCTAAAAACTGAAACCACGGAATAACATATATCAAACGACATTTTAAAACCACATATATCATTAGTAAACTTATAAAATCAAAATTGGCGCAGGCTACATAAATGCATATAAGAGAAATATACGGATAAATGAAAAACTAATATAACATTTAAAATGCAATTTCAGACAAGGTATTTATAAAATACTTTGTTATGAAAAATTAATATATCATTTAAAATGCAATTTCAGACAAGGTATTTATAAAATACTATCTGAAAAATAAAATACTATTGCCAACAGTAAAATTGTAAAGAATTTCGATGATTAAATATTTAGATTATAGTTTTTTTTTTTTTTTTTTTTTTTTTTAATTTTAAGTTTTAAGGCATATTCTTACACAACTTTTCATTGTTTCTGTATAAATTCTCTATTGTTTATGAGAAGAGGGACGAATATAGTGGAACTACGATTATCTATTAGTTTGGGGTCCGTCGTCTTGATGGAAAAGGGCAGAAACTTCTCTGGCTGGGCAGTCTTCATACGCAGACAATATACAACGAAGATTTAATTTTAGCATTGTATAGTCCAGCTTTGTATAGAATGGATAAAAGTCAATATTAGAACTGAATATTTAGTTAGTACAGCTATTAAGCATACTTCATGATTTATATATAGTAAAAATATAACACTTAAATACACCAATCACAGTTTTCATCAGAAACATGTTAATAAACAAATAAAAAAAAATCTGAAAGGTTTCAGATTTTAAATTACGTCCAAAGGGGCTTTTTTAACGTTTTGTGTGTTACCTTTATTTATTAAATATCATGTTGTTCTTTGCATTTAAACCATAAAATTCAGTTCAATAGTAATGTCGCAAAATAATTTTAAAATGATCCTGTCTTTAGAATTTCTGATACAGAGTTCCGCGCGCTGGAGATAAAAAGGTTTTTTTACCCCGTGGAGTGTTGCCATTGCTCGTTTCGAAATTCTTGAATTTGTTAATCAAAATTTTATAAAACATGAAAGTTTACGAAGTTTTACAAAATATGAAATCGATAATAAAACAAATTCCAAATTTCAAATTTGGTCTTCCACGTGTCCATATTCGCAGGAGGATTACGTCATTCAAAATTCGATGGCTCTATGTACCGTTGCTTTATCACAATGCGAGAAATAGACATACATTTATGCAGATTTTTCATTATTTAATTTCTTCAAATATAATGCAGGACTCTAATATTGGGTGGCAACAGTTTGAAAAGTGAAACGGATATTTATAGTGATTCAACGCATAGTCGCAAAACGAAAACAAAGAGTCCTTTAGGAAACAAAGCCCCTTTGGACTAAAAACAACTTTTCCTAAGCCATTTCAGCTCATATTCTTCTCTTTTTGTTTATACATGAGGAGATTGTTCTTTTGAAATTTCAGAAATGCTTACATATGTTGATAAGGTACGTAATATCCAGTTGACTGTTCATCCCACCAGCTGAGACGTAAAGTTGCTGAATACTAGCAGTTCGAATTGGGTTCGAGTCCAAACAAATGGGCTGGCTACCTGGGCGTTTTTCGTGGTTTTCTCAACGTGTCGCGTGGATGCGAGGTAGTTTTCCTTAAAAAGTCCTCCTCAACGCATTTCTCCTATTAGGCAGAGAGCTCCCGCGAGCTTTACCGTTATCAAATAAAGTTACCAACAAAATCAATTCAGAGACTATCGAAATTGCACGATGAGTTTAACTTAAAATTTCATACGTGAAGTTTCGATAGTGTAATACAAAATTAAGCAAACCAACATTTTGCTTCTTAAAGTTTGGTTTCGTTTATTTAATTACGGCAAAGCACTCGAGGGCTATCTGCCTAAGTAGAGGGATGCCTTCGTGGAGGACCTTCTGAGGAAATTTGGCTCGTATGCACGTGACACATGCTAAAAAAACACGCAGGCAGACTTTTCGCCGGGATTCGAAACTCGGATCGAACTACCAGCGTTCAGCGACATTTCCGCTCAGTCGCCGATGGCTGAAGAACCGGAATGTACATCATATCATTTTCGAACTCGAACAGAATCTCATATAAAATGTAAGCGAGCCTAAGTTTGCTAATGGCTTGCTTCAGTTAGAATACACTAATTTTAAACAGTGTTTCAGTCATTTATTTTTATAAACATGATGTTGAAAAATCATTTTATTCTACAGTATGACTTGTTGGGTTTTAAGCTTCTTAGTCCAAAGGGCCAGTTTGCCCAGAAGGACAAATAATTTCGCTTTGGCATTTTGCGTTGATTAACTTTTTAAATTACTGCCACCAAATATTAGAGCTCTCTATTATATTTAAAGAAATTAAATAATGAAGAATCTGCATAAATGTACATATATTTCTCGCATTGTGATAAAACAACGGTACATAGAACCATCGAATTTTGAATGACGTAATCCTCCTACGAATATGGGACCAATATGGAAGCCCAACTTTGAAATTTGGAATTTGTTTTATGATCGATTTCATATTTTATAAAACTTTAACGAATTTTTGATTAACAAACTTAAGGATTTCAAGCGAGCCATGGCAACGTTGCACAGAAAAAGCATTTTTATCTCCATCGCGTGAGTCTCTGTATCGGAAATTCTAAAGATATGCTCATTTTAAAACTATTTTGCGATATTGCTGTTGAAATGAATTTTATGGTTTAAGTGGTTTAAGAGCAAAGAACGTGATATTTAATAAGTAAATGTAACACACAAAAGTAACACAAAATGTAACACACAAATCTAGTTCCTTAGATAGAACTTTTACCGATTCTTTTAATTAAAATGTGTATTCCTTTATAATAATGTGTAGAGAAGATGCTCACTATCATTTGGTTATTTTAAATTTTTTAGAGGAGATTTAGGGATTTTACTGTTATAAAATTCAAATTATTAGTTATATAAATTCAAATTATCTAAATATTCCGCGGAAATAATATTGGGATATTTTTGTTTATAAAAATACATATATACTACATAACAAGATAACCTTTTTAAAATTTTAAAAGGGCAAAAATTATTGAGAAATACGTTTACTGATTTAAAATCGAACAGTTTGCTAAGCAACTATACTCATAATTTAAAAAAAAATTAAGACACATCGACGGATACTACGCGCAGAATTGGCTATGTAACTTATGTCTTTTTGAATAGAAACAAAATGCATATTGGGCCAAAAAATTGGGAAAGGCACCATCACAGATATTTCTGACGTCAAAATAATACACTTTAAGACACAATAACACGCCGAATAAATACTAATTCAGAAGACAAACAACAAAAATCAGCGTTATATTTATAAAATTTTCACAGGACTAGTTTCGATGGTTTTACCGAACCACCATCCTCAGCTGCAAAACCGCAAATGAACAAGATAGGAAAAAATTATAAGATAAGATAAGAAAGCCTGGACAAGAATAAGCAAGTGGCGCCATCTGTTGGTGAAACCAGAACTAAAACATAATTTCTTTAAAGGCCGAAGGCAAATTTGGATTGGAATTAGGATCCTTAACTAGAACAGAAAAATTTTTATGAATGTGAAATGCCTCTAGAAAATCCAGTTCTCCAATGGAAGATGTTTTTTGAATAATTTTGGCAGCAGAAATATTGGAGTGTGATTTTCGGACCAACAATGTTGCGCAACAGAAGACTTCTGTGTTTCCTTTTTTCTAACATATGCCTCATGTTCCTTGACGCGAAATTTTAAGGCTCTCTTAGTTTGGCCAATGTAAATTAAACCACACTGGCAAGGAATCCTATAAATACCCCAGGAATTCATATCCGGAATGGGGTCCTCAAGTATGGAACTCGGAATTTTATTGATGGGAGAATAAACAACCCGAAAGTTAAATTTCTGCAAAATATGTGCAACTTTATAGCTAATTGATGGAAAGAAGGGAATGAGAACAGAATTTTTATAATCTCCTAAAACAAGAGTGTGCTTTTTAGTGTGTTGAAATGAGAATTTTTTAACTGCTTGATTAATAATGTTGGGTGAAAAGCCCCTGTCAGTAGCTATTGCTTTTAAATAATTTAGTTCTTCATCAAGGGCTAGTTTGGAGGAGCAAAGTTGAAGAGCACGGAAAACATAGTAATTGTTTATTCTCCCATCAATTCTATGGAATACATATTTGCTGATTAATTAGCCTTAAAGCGCGTTACCCCGAATGGGTTATTAGTCTCGAAAGAGAATTTTCTGTTAAATCAACTATAAAAGGCAAATCACATTCTGGTGGCAACAGTTTCAAAATGGTCTTTAAAGAAATTAAATTTTGAAGAATTTCTCGAACATGGGCACCTGGAAGCTCGAATTTTGAATTTCGTATTTTATTTTCTAAAATTTTAATGAATTTCTGATTAGCAAACTCAACGATTTGAAAGTGACAACACTGTACGGAATAGAATACTTTTATCTCCAGCGCACGAGACTGTCTGTTAGAAGTTCTAATAATATACTGTTTTAAATATGTGGTGATTTTGCTTTTGAATTCAGTTTAATGGGGTTTAAATCCAAAGAGCGTGATATCTAATAAATAAAGTTAATATACAAAACGTTAATAATAAAAGATACACAAAAAAAATTTGTAAGCCACGTTATTGAGAAAACTGAACATTGATACAGTGAACCAAGGAAAAAATACAAAAACGTATACGACACTTAACACTGCATCAGGAATTCTAAACATATGCTGCTTTGAAAATTTTTGTAATTTTGTTGTTGAATCGCATAGGGCGTAAATGCGAAGAAAATGGTGCTTAACAACAAAGCTAGCAGGAGTGAGTACAACACCAGACTGGTAGACTGCGAGCTTAACAACTCCTTTTGGGCAATCGTTAAAATCTGAACTTTTTCAGATTTGTTTATAATAACATTTTTGTTTATGAATTGTATCTAGTTATATTATTTTTCAATTATAATTTCCATAATATGTGAATTTCAGTGAATCACCCCAAAACGTTTTCTACTGTAACTCTAAACATGGCATGAAAAGTTAAACTTACCTGTTCCAGCTTCCATCTCTCATGTTCTCTCTGTGGTCTGCATTGGTCGCCTCGCGGTCCCTTTGTTTGTTGCTTGAGAGTATGCTTTTGTCAAGGCTGCGCTCTCTTATGCGACGATAACGACTGTCTTCGACGAATCTCTGGTCTGTTCTGATAGGACGTACGTGTGGGACCTCCCCCAGCACTTTACGATTACCACTCGCTCTGTGGAAGATGCTGGAGGACGAGAGGTCATCTGCCGACATGGAGATGGTCATTGCACCAGGAGGCATTGAAGACCGACCACCGTTCTCATCGAGGCCTGACCCTACAGGAATGTCTAGAAAGTCCGTCAACTTGGGCAAAACGATATGGTGCTCATCAGTTAAACTTTCTGGAGTAGCTGGAGAAGAAGCAGTATAAAATTTGACAATGAATTACAGAAAATTCTCCTTTTATGATTCTTCTGTGTCAAGTTTACTGGGTACTTTTCGGAGAAGATCATTTGCTGAAGAGTATTTCTTTAAAATTTTCTGGCTTTAACATCGAGCCCGAATTCGATTAGGTGTTTACAGTTTGAATATTGGTTACGTATGGTACTCTAATGATTTACTTAGGATTACCGATCTTAGAATATTAAATAAGAAATCATTATAATTTATCTTACAGCATATAGGTTTTCGTTTTGCCTAATAAACAATGAATAGTAATTAAAAAGTTTGATTTTAACCCGTAACAGGGGAGGTGAAAAAGTTGAACATAACAGGGAACGTGCGGTCTCAGAGACCGCGCATTATAATAAATTTTTAAAAATCGTCTAATTAAAATATCATCGTGATATTTCACTTAGATGTTCTTTGAACATTTTACTCTGAAAAGAAAATATGTTTTTACACTTTAAAGTGAAATTAAAGTTTTCCCAGAAAATTTCCCCATAGCCTCAAATTTTTCGATGAAAATCATATGCTGCACTAAATTCTATAAAACTAAAAATAAGAATGCATCTATTTTTTGAATTAACTATTTTATCTATATTAGTTAATATTCAAAGCAAATTTTAACCGCAGAAAATTGTATGTAGCACAATACAGAAAAATTTTGAGTCCGGAAATACTTTACATTGCTTTCTATGGGACGAAAGACTGCTGCTCTGCTTGGTCATATAAAATTTAAGTAAAAATGGTTATTCGCTGCAGCGCCTACAGATGTAAAGAAAGTTTCGTGAAAGGAGGACTTGTAACCTTTCATAGGTAAGTTAAAACTGCATGATTTATTATTTTATTTTCATATTTTTGTCATTTTAACTATCTCTGTGAATTGGTTGGAAAGTTTCAGCCATATTGTATAAGAAAATTGCCGCCGTATATGACATTTTCAGCATGTATTATTAGAATCAAAATGTATTAAATACTGTGACACTATTTACTAGAATCACCCTTTACAAATAATTGAATTTTATGTTTTTTCCGTGTATTCCGTTGAAATAGAAAGCTGCGCCAATTGGCGTTAACCTTTTTTCGCCAAGTCGTACGCGTTTTGATTTCATAAACAATTACTGCCTTCGATAAAAAAAAGAAAAATGCTGTTATTAGCATTAAATTATTGAGAAAAGATTGTGCGATATATTTACTTTGTTAAAAAAAAAGCTGAAGATCCTGATTCATGCAACATTGAACATAAACAGTTAAACAGCATTATTTTAAAAATCGGATTACTTTTATAAAGCTCAATGCTTTACCATTATTTTCTATAAAATCAATTAAAATAAAAATAATCTGGATTATAATTCTGTCTCATCTACGATGCTATTAGAAATTTATTATAATTGAAAAAATGTGATGTGAAAAACTTACCATATTTTAAATAGTATTTAAAAATAAAATAAAAAAAAAAAAAGGTGAGTGAGAGAATTTTTAACTGTAATTCATTTTGATCCTAATAATATAATCTCAAGTAATATAATAATAAACTGTAATAATTAAATAAGTAATATAATCTCAAGTAATATAGAAATAATAAACTAGTAATATAATCTCTCAAGAAAAGAGAGGCAATCAATGGCATAAATACATATAAGTCAATGTGATTTTCTTTTTCTCTTTAGGATGCATGCATTAAAATTAAACGAGATTTATTTTTACCTTCTCAAATATTATAACAGTAGTGCAATTAATTTTTTAACGTTATTCAAAATTAAAGTTTCCATCTCAATTTTTTTATTATTTTATTTTAGATTTTCTTCTTTCCTAAAATTATTTAACCTAACATCTTAAACAATGGTGCAAATAATTTAAAGCGATTATTAAAAATATAGATAAAATATTCAGGAAAAAAGGGGCTAAGTTATATCTAAATATAATTGTAAAAAATCGAACAACCTAATTCGAGGCCGTTGTCTGCTGACTGCTATCAGACGGAAATAAAAAGCACTATGCGGGTGAGCCGTCTACCTGTTATATGAAGTCGTTGGTCAGACCGCACGTTCCCTGTTACGGGTTAATTTATCTTGCCTTATTAAATAATGCAGAACAGAGTTATTACTCATAATTTACAATTCAACTATATTAAACTAAAATATATTCATTAATTATTCAAGAAACTAACAAAAAACTAATATTATATTACGTCTCATTGTTTTCTTCAAATATATTTTAAAATATAATTCGGTTACTGTAAATATTACGAAAAAAGAAAAAATTAAAAAATTTAGAATAAAAGAAAAAAGGAGAAGAGAAACATATTTTACATTAACTTCGTTCTTAATCACAAGACATGTGGCATGAAGTTTTAGTTTATGCTTTCAAACAAATTGTAACGCATACTGCAAGTATGGATCAATCACGAAACAATAGCTCTCGCATGTAATTTTAAACTCTTTTTATATTTGTATTTATTTATTTATTTTGGAACTCCCACATCATACCACAACAAGATACGAACAATATCATTATCTATTTGACTAAATACTTTATGCATCATTCCCCCCTTTCGTCCTCATTTAAACTGAGGAACATAAATGTGTTAAATTTTTCAAATTTAATAAGTGAAATCGAACATATATTTTCAAGGAAAACTGCATATAAATTGGTCACTTGGATAACACTGCGAATAATATTTCTGCGAAAAGAAATTTTCTAGAAAACTTTCTGTTAACAATTTTGGTAAATTTTCATCACCGATTACAAAGCTTTAATAGTGCTACGTAAATAAAATTCAATTATCGCAAGATTATAAATTTCACTGAAATACAAGAAACATTCCATAGCTTTAAATATTTCTGCATTCTTCTCGAAAGAGAAATAAAATATTTTGTAAATATAAATAATGAGCAGGCAATTGAAAAATTTCTGATTATTAATTTTGGTTTAGTCAATAAAAAGAATATACATGTAATATAATAGAAATAAGCTTGGAAATGTCCAAAAGGTGAGCCTTTGAAACGTTAAAAATATACTACAAATAAATTTTAAAAAAATAATTAAAAAAAAGCTTTTTACTTAGTTGACATTTTGCAGTATTATTCATGATTTAATGACAAAGGAGGAGACAAAAGGGAATAAGTAGATAACACTTACCTCTGTCATGTGATCGCTGACTATTGCTGTCTGCTAGGCTTTCTTCAAGACCGCTGTCTTCTCCCTGAGACCAGTTATTGGGCCCTGTGTAGTGGCCCTCTTTCAAAAATAATTCTGGTTCTGGAGCCTAACGGAATAATATGTATTATAATTATTTTGAAAACTTCAGAGTTTTTTGCTAGTTCTTGCTCTGAAGCTTAATAGAAAAATATATATTGTAATTACTTTGAAAACGATATAGTTTCTTGAAAAATGTAAAGCTTTGGCTCTGGAGTCTAACAGAATAATGCATATTATAATTATCTTTGAAACTTTATAGTTTTTTGAAAACTTTATAGTTCTGGTTCTGGAGCCTAACAAAGTAATATGTATTGTAATTATTTTGAAAACTTTATAGATTTTTCTTCATTAGAATTTTTGTCAATTTGAAAATCTTTAAACACGAGCATACAAAACAAAATCGAAAAGAATTTGCTTCTAAAAAGCAAGTACTTTTGAAAAAAAAAAAAAAAAAAAAAAAAAAAAACTGATAATAACTCCCTTAAGAATTCTATTAAACCTTTTGCTGTGATTTATTTCTTGGTATAAAATAATCCATATAACTAATAGCCCTTATAGAGATAACAGACAGCTAGAGTCAAGATATTTCGTTAAAATGTGGTACTAAAAATGCTACAAACTTTTATATTTACACAGATAATTCCCCGCGAAATTTCACTTTAAATTTAAGCCTTAAGTATTTCGCTTGTTTGTAAGCTACAGTTGAAAATATTGTTTATATTTATTCAGAAAGTGTTGTGAAAGCTAATTGAATACAAAAATTTTTTCCTGTTGTGTACGATTGTGTTTAGGAAATTTACAAACGATATTAATTGCAAGCAATTGCCGTTTCCTCCTATGCTGATTTCTATTTGGTCCGATGATAGTAGTATAGTGCTGCCATCTATTGACTGATAATGAAACGTCAATAGCTTTCATACTTTTTCAAGCCGGTTTAGATATTTAGACGATGTACTGCCGCCGCAATAGAAATGAAAATTGAAATGAGTACAGTTTGTAAACGTTCTTGTCATCTATATGCCCTATCAGTTAACAGCTGTCGACTGTGTTTCCACGACCAGGTTTTGTCATGTTATTATTTGAAGAGCTTCTTAAATATTAATACTGAGTTGTATCAGCATTGTGAATTATTTAAATAAAAGGAATATTAAAATCCCGTAAATGTGTTAACAATAAATTTCCTTTTACTTAGCTTAAAAAGGAAAACAAGCGATAACCTAATCACTAGAATTCCGTATATCTACATTTGAAATAGCTGGAGTTCTGCTAAAACTAACTTTTATCTTTAGTAAACATTATATGAAAACTTAAACGTTTACTCACGGCAAGCAATGATAAAATAAATGATCAGGAAAATAGAGTTAATTAGAGACGAAAGAAAAATGATTTCATCTATCAGTAAATTACTACAGAAATGCATTTTCGATTTAATCATGTATCAAAAATCATGTAAAAAAAGTTCCTTATCTCCCGTTTCACTGGGCCGATTGAGGAAATTCAAATTGCATTTTTCATGTCTCGAAAGCGCGACGTAGGCTATGTATTAGATTTATATATAGCATTGTTCAAATATAAGTATTTTTACACAAAATCGGACTTTTTCTGAAATGACGTACGAATTTTTTTTCCATATTTCGATTCTACGGCTCAAACTATTATGCCTAAATATTAAGTTTTGTAAAGTTTAGTATGAAATTTACGGAAAAATTAAAAATTTATCTTGGCACATTTTTTTCAATTTGCGCCAGAAATGGAAAAAATGGAAAATCCTTTTTTTTTCTTTAATTTCGTTCGTTAATATCATCAAAATGTTAGAAATAGATTATTTGTTTGGAAAACAAACTTTAAACGTAATAACAACAATAATCAATATTTTCACATAATATGGGAAATGTTAATGGATTGCAGCAATTTTGTGCTCAAATTATAGCAAAATAAATCAAATGACACAATTTTCAAGATTAATAAACTATAGATGCACTTACAGCGATAAATGAAGCCTCCGAAAAATTAGAATTAAGAATCGAAAAATATAAGGTAAGGAAAACACATATTCTTTTGCTAGAATTGAAACATTTTGGAGAAGAAAATTGTTGTAATTGATATAAATCACATTCCCCTATTCAGTCTCCAAGAGTAAATGAAGTAATTTTCACCTCCAGTTTAATAATGATGTAATAAACATATTACAATTTATAAGCTGCTGCATTATTTGATAGCGGCACTTCAATTAGATGCGAAACAATTGGAAATCATTGATGAATTCTTTGAGTCAGTTTAGTCATGCGGAAAAGTACCTACTATGCACAACTGGTAAAGTCAGTATTAGAAATAAAAACACTCGCATATATAATATAAGTATATTAGCAACACAGTGGGTAATTTGAAGAGAAATAACAGAAATTAATGTTAAAATGGCAGGAAATAATTTGTTGATCCCCTGGAAGAGCGGTTCTCAACCGGTGGTATGCAAGAGAAACAGCTGGTATACAAAGAAACAAAGTATTTTTAACTATTCAAAAATCTCGTGAGAAAAGAAGAGTGACAATAGATAGAAATACAGAACAATCGATACAATCGATAGAAATTTTCCAACAATCGATAGATAGATTATTAATACAACAATCGATAGAAATTTTCTATGACTGAACTCTAACTGAAGATTTCATAAATAACACACTTATTAACTAACTTTAGGCTGAACGGAAAAAAAGAATTTAACGGCACTTCAAATAAATTATGAACTTAAATTTTTTTTTATTTATTTATTTATTTATTTATTTTTTTTTTTTTGCATAACGTATTTGTATGAACAAGGACATACTTCCATGTTATAATTGGAAAGAAATACAGAACAAAATTAAAAATGGATCCTAATTTGAGGTTAAAGCTAAGTGAAATAAGATATTAAAAAAACTGATCTCCCTTAAACAGGCCCAAATTTCACACTAAATTTTAGAATTAAAGTATTATAGCTTAAATTTTGATAAATAAAATGGTAAACAATTTTTAATATAATATTGTTTAATGTGTGAATATTTAGTAGGCTGTGCAAGTGGCAAAATATATATTTTTAAATATTTCTATTGAAAAATAGAAAAAATATCCTTGTAAAATGTAGTGGTGGTACTAAAGCTTTTCAGTTTTTGTTTAGATGTAGGCGTAAGTCAAAAGGTTGAGAACCGCTGCTTTAGAAACTTGACATAAAATCGCCAAAGAACACGAAGGTACATTGCAGAGACAGGTGATAAGTGACGGAAGACAGGAACGCCTGGTGTATAACATAAGTAAACAGTTACATGTCCCACGTCCTTCACTTTCTCGAAGCAACAACTCCCTGGAGTCCCATGAGGCTGCACTGGGAGTTTACATGGCCAAACAGGAGTTAGGTGTCAAGTAGATGTTACATAGGGCGTTATTTATAAGACAAAGTAAGTTAAAAGGAATATAAAGGATAGCATTAAAACACTAAAACACACATATAAGCCGAAACACATAGATACACAAAAATAAACATAAAAACACAGTTATAATTACAAAACATAAAGCCATAAAAACGCAGACGGGAACTTTATAGAGATATTAGATATTCTTTTTTGGGAAGCAGGAAAGATGAAAAATAAGCAAACGAATTTGTCGGGAATCGAACCACGGACTTCTGGAATACGCGACCAGCGTGCAGACCACGAATACTTCTGGAATACGCGACCAGCGTACACCACGAAGGCATGCCAAGAAGGCGGGAGAAATACCTTATAACTTTAAATTTATTGTCTATCACAATGAAATAATCTCTCTTTTCTCTAGGCGAAAAACACCAAATGTTTCTAAACACAAATAACATAATGTTACCTACTTGTGTGCAGAAATAAGTTCTGGTTAAAATAAAATTAAACCCATACTTGATTCAAATTTATTCACCAAACAATGCTTTTTAAATATGGTTTTAAATATTTTAGTGTAATTTTAAATATTTACCGAATGCTTTTTAAATATTTTAGTGCAATAGTTCATGAAATAACTTTATTTGATAGATTCAGAAAATTTTAAAGAAAGAAATATGGGCATTTAAGTGATATCAAGATAGCTAATTTCCATAAAAAATTTTGATGAATACTTTCTTCATCGGAGGATCATTATTAAACATTAAGGATCGTTGCTCAGTTTCATACCGAACGAAACGGCAGACAAGCTGGCTCTGTCTGAGAAGAAAAATACATAATGAACCTTTAGGAAACAACAAAATCCTTCTACAAAATCACAGCGGCAGCAGATTAAACAACTGGATTTGGCAATTATTACAGCAAAAGTTATTACAGCAAAAGAAATGTTTTGACATCCTTAGACCTCCTGATGAGACATACAGCTGCAAAGTTAACGCTTCCGATATTCTGTCACTCCAGAAGGAATAGAATTTAAGTACCATTGAAAAGATCTTATTTTGTACTAATCCATTATTTTTATTTTAAGAAAGTTTCCTTTCCCTTCTTATTTCAATTTCCAACCAGAATGCAAATTTAAGTGACGTATATATGTATGACGTATATAGAGACGTATATAGAGATGTATATAGAGACGTATATAGAGACGTATATAGAGTTCGTAGTTATTTACGTGTAGAACGGGTTACGCCGAGAACGAATTTATGCCGCGAGAACGATTTACGCAGCGTGCTTGCAGGTAGCTTGTGTAGCTGAATATTTGTGCTAGCCACCTACTTTAAGTTATGTTGATATTTTAGATTTAGCTTTGTTGTGTGAGGCCGATCAAACTGACTAGATCAAAGTAGGATCCAGTCGTGGATTTGAAATTTGCTTCATTTTGATAGTACATACTATTTTGTGTTTAAGGTACTTAGCCACAAGTGGTGGATAGTTTGTGAGCACTGAGTGTGTGCATATTCCGTTCAGTTTAGTTAAAATAAAACGGTTTTATAACGTCGGCAGTCATCCATTTTTACAAGACATAGAGAGACTTCGCTGCCTCCTCTTCAGTAAGGTCTGCATTCTATGATCTGGAAAAGAGCAAGACTCTACATCACATAAACTAACTAATTATGAATACGGT